TGAATTTTAGATAAACTTCTATTAGTATCTATTAGATTCTCATCCTTATTTTCATAAGTGATTCCATTATCATTTTGACATTCTGTATTTTCCAATTCTCTTCAACACAACAAAATATTTGAACATCCACCACCAACATTCTACATCCACCACAATCAAAGAATATGCAAACACACCAGAACTATTTGATAATTTAAATGCTTGATACTCTGTATCAGTTGATCCAATTAGATATGTTAATAATACTAACAATTCCAACAATGAATATCCAAATATTTCAATATTTATTCTCTATTATTACCACAGCTGACATTTTTTTATTAACTTATTAACAAGTGAGTTGTTATCATTTTTGGTTTATGGAAGTAGTCTTCAAAAGGTTATCATTGGAAATTCCAACATTGAATTATCAATTTAAATATCTGAAATTATAATTGTCATCAATTCATCTAAATCATCTTCTAATCTTAATCTTCTAATCTTAATCATCTAATCATCATTCCAATCAATATCTTGTTTAATTCTAAAATCAACCAACCAATTTTTAACTTTTTCTTTTAATTTTTGTCCATGTTCTTGTTTTTCTCTTTCAATTATATTTAAATCCTTATTTAATTTTAATTTTTTAAAATAAAATCTTTTTAAATAATTTAAATAAAATTCATCTGATTTTTTCTTATTTTCAAATTTTTTAATTAAACGTTCTTCTTTTGAAAATCTAAATTTTTTAATCCATTCATTAAAATATTTTTTAATTTTTAAATTTCTTTCAAATTCAATTGATTCTTCATAATTATTTAAATGTTCTTTTAAATTTAATTTTAATCCTTTTATGGATTTTGATAAATATTTTCTTTCTTTAATTAAAATTAATTTGTTAATTTTTTCTAATTTTAATTTTTTACGTAATTCAACTTGATCATTAATATTTAATTTTAATCCAATAAATATTTTAATTTTTAATTTCTTTTCATAAATATTAATTGAATTTAATTCTTTTTCTTTCTTTTCTTTAATTAAATTTAATAATGGATTAAATATTTTCCTTTTTAATAAATTTAAATAAAAATTATCTGCTTTAATTTTTTTCATATTCATTTCTTGAATTAATTTTTCCTTTTCCAATTGTTTTAATTTTAATAATTCTTTTTCTTTTCTTTTTTCTTCAATTATTTGTTTTTTCCTTTCTTGTTCTTCTTCTTGTTTTTTCTTTTCTTCTTCCAATTTTAATTTCTAATTTTGTTTTAAATTAAATTAAATAATAAAACAACTTACTTCTTTTTCTTCTTCTTGTAATTTATATTTATCTTGTAATTGTTTCCAACGTTCTTTTCTTTCATTAACTCTTTCTTCCATTGCTTTAAGAAATTGTGGTGTTTGTTGATTTGTTGTTGGTTGTTTTTTTAAATTAATTATATTCGTTGCTGTTGCTGTTGCTGTTGATTTTTCATTATTAGTATTATTACTACTATTTGTATTACTAATATTAGTAGAATTATTAGATATCTGATTAGAATCATTAATTAAAGAAGTATTTGGTGTAATAATATCACTATGATTACTTATAGTAGAGAGACTACTATTACTATTATTAATTATTATATTATTGATAGATGAATGAGTTTCATTATTTAATTCTATTACTTGTTCATTATTGGAAGGAATTAAATCTTTTTCATTACTTGTATTACTTTCATTAATATTTGAATTATTATTACTAGTATTTGTAGTATTTGTAGTATTTGAAATATTTCTCTTTTTCTTATTTTCATCATTAATTTTAGAATTAATTATTTGACCTCCACCACTATTATTTTTAATTTTCCTTCTTGATGTATTAATAATTTCCTGAGGTGTGTTTGTTGTATTATTAAAATAATTACTACTATTACCACCAATAGTATTATTACTTGTATTATTTGTAGAGCTATTACTATTATTAGTAATATTATTAGAATTATTTGATTCATTTAAAGTTAATTTTTCAATAAAATTATTCATCATTTCTTTTCTCCTTAAATGTTGTTTTTCAATAATTTTTCTATCTCTTGATATTTTATATTGACATGTCCATTTAAGGAAATAATGTGATAATATTTTACTTCTATGCATTTGATCTGCTGCTTGAATTCTTTTCTTTTCTAATAAAATTGTTTTTTGTATTTTAATTTCTTCTTGTTTTTCTTTTGCTAATTTCCAATTTTGTAAAATTGATTTAAATGATTTTTTTTTAATTTTCCATTCATATAATGTCTATTTAAATATTTAAATATTAAATATTAAATTAAATATTTACCTTAACTTTTAAAATCATTTGAAATCTTTTTTGACATTTTCTAAACCAAATATTAAATATTTTACTTTTTAAAGTTAAATTATTTGTATTAATTAAATCACTTGTCATTCTATTTAACATTTCATTTCTTTCCTTTTCATGTTCTTTTAATATTTTTAATTGTTGTTGTTTTAATTTTTCCATTTCCTCTTTCCTTTTTAAAATTATTTAATTATTATTAAATATTATTCAAATACTTACATTTGCTGATTTTGTTTAATTGATTTTAATTCTTCCTTTTTAATTTGTTGAACTTGTTTTAATTTTGATTTTTCTTCTTCAATTTGTTTTTTAATTTTTAAAACTTCTTCTTCAGCTTTTCTCTTTTCATTTTCTGCAATAAATAATTCTTTTTGAGTTGTAACATAATTTGATGTTGATGGTTGTTGATTTGTTCCGATAGATGGTATTTCAACAATACGTTCTTTTTTAATTTTACTATTATTATTAGATGATGGATTTACAACAGTATTAGGTGTTGTTGAATTATTAGAATTATTTGTATAATTAGTTCCCAATAATTTAGTTTTAAAAATGTTCATTTGTTGATCTAATGAATTATTAATTAAATTTGTATTTAAAATTGAAGAAGGTACAATTGAGTTATCATTAAATTTAGGTTTTTCAATTGAATTCATTGTTGTCACTACTAAATGGTTTATATGAAAATAATGAATCTTTCTTTTCATCATTTGAAAATATTGATGATGTAAATTTAGATGAAGATGGTCCAATTATTTCATTTACAATATTATCATTATTATTACTCATATCATATTTATCAAAATTAAATAAATCACATTGATTCATCATGGTTGAGTTGATGTTGTTGATTATCGGAAGAGTTTAAATCATTTTTTACAAGTTGAATTTTACTTTCAAAAGTTGGTTCTAAAACATTTAAAACAACAACATTCTTTTTACGTTCCATTGAAAGTCTTAATTTCTCCCATCTTGTTAATTCAGATGGTCTTTTATCTTTAATTTTATCCATTAATGGTGTATTTAATAATTGATTAGCAGATACTTGATCATCCGATAGTGTTGATTCAATAATTGATTTTGTTGTTATTGGATTAGTACTTTTTAATAGTGGATTTTCATTCCTAATTGATGATGTTGTTCTTTTAATTGATGATGATGATAAATTATTACTACTCATATTAAGACTAGTATTTAATATTAAATTATCTTTAATTTGAAGATTATCTTGTTGTTCTCTTGTTGTCCATTTAGTTATTAGATTTTTAGCCTCCAATCTTAATCTTTCCTCACTTGAATTTACTTTTGTATTTACATTATTATTACCAATTCCTTTGATACTTAAATCGGAGGATGATCCTAATGTTGATGATGATGATGAAATTAAAAGTGGATGTTGTTGAGGTGTTGTACTTCTATTACCTCTCATATTTGATGATGTTGTTGTATTGTTGGTAGTTGTACTTGATTGGGCGGGAATTGCTTGCCTCCTTGTACTTCCACCACTGCTCTGAGGTCTTTTCATTAATTTTTATTCAACTTGTTTCGTCTATTTAAATACAATGAAACACATTACTTGTAATAATAATACCTTAATATTTTACACCATCATTGAACATCTCCAAATAATGACTCAACTAAGGTTACACTAACATATAAATTTAATTTTGGAATGTAAATATTTATTGTTGATATTGTAACATATCATCATCTGAATCATGATCATTTTGTTGATTCTTTTGATTTTCTAAATAAGCTTTACCTCCTTGAACAGCCAGAGATGAGGCTGCTTTTCCACCTTTAACAGCTCCCTTAGCAAGTGTCATGAATCCAGAAGCAACCTTTTTTTGAACCTCCTTATTGGTTGCTGCATTAGCAATTGCTGTTCCTGCTTTTTGTTGGAATTCCTTATTACCAACAGTTTTAGAAATGGCTGTACCAACTGTTTGTTGAACTTGTTCATTTTGAGCAAATCCTGAAACAAGTTTGTTGTCAGTATTCTTTGAAATCATATTACCAACTGATTTTTGATATTCTCTATTATTTGAAGCATTAGAAACTGCTGATCCAACTCTTTCTTGAACTTTTTCATTGTTTGCAAAATTGGCAACTCCTTGACCCACTTTTTCTTGAACTTGGTCATTATGAACTACTTTACCAACTCCACTATAAACCTTCTTTTCATTTTCTGTCAAGTCAGAGGTATCTTCTTTATAGGTTTTCTTTGGTAATGGTGGTGGAGCTCTTCCACTACCACTACTGCTATGACTGTTGTTACCACTATTGCTACTGCTACCACCAAGTGACAAGTTTGAAAAACTACTCAAAATACTGCCACTTCTTGATTGTTGTTGTGGTTGCTGTTGTGATACTACTGTATTACTATTATTATAATTATAATTGTTAACAACATTATTATTAACTGGAGGTGGAGGAAGTGATGATTGTGGTTTTGGAATGAAAGGAGGTGGAGTTGAAGATTTTTGAGTTTGTTGTTGTTGAAGAAGTGATTGTGGAAGTGGAGGTGGAACTTTCTTAAAAGAAGGAGGTGGTAATTGACCACTATTAACAACATTATTCACTGAAGAACGTTCTTCTGGATATTTCTTAAATATTTCTTCTAATATTTGTCTCTTTTCTTCTTGAACAGTTGGTAATTTCTGAGCATTATATTCATACTCTTTAGCATAATTTGGATCATTAAATTGTGCATGTTCTGATGGTAATCTATGACAAACCAATAATTCATAGGCTTGTAAATAAATATAGCAATTTTCATAATCATTAATTCTCTTATATTGACCTGCTTGTTTTAAATAGTTTGCTCCATCTTTAAAGTATTCGGATAATGATCTATTAGAATCAATTAATCCAATCTTTCTAGAAGCTGTTACATTTAATATATCTATTTTACCCATTTTGTGTTATTTAGTTATTATTTAATAGTAGTGATGATAATGTTATAATTGATGATCTGTTTTGATCTAATAAATTAAAATATTGTGATGATATTCTCTCTAGAGAGTAAAGAAGAATATTTTGGATATGTACAAAAATTAATTTGATATAATTAATAGTATAGGAAAAATGTTTGATCAGTAATTGAGTCAAACCTTGTGTATCACCAAGTTGTTGTTGTGTTGTTATTTATTTGAATGATGGAAGAACAGCGAACAAGTCGAGGCTAATTTTTTGTTGGAATGTTGGATGATACTTTGGAGTTTAAATAGAACTCTCATGAATTCGCTCAGCGAAAGATATTGTGTGTAACCCTTTTTTCAAAATTAATACATGATAAATTATCTTTCAACTAGGTTTACATGAACTTTAGTTTCAATATTGTAATATTTATTATTTTTTAATTTTATAAAATATTTAATGGTTCAATTTTGTAAACTCTCTTCCATTTTCTAAAATGAACTGTTATTATTGACCATGCAACTCAATTAATAGAAGAGATTAAACTTGAACAACAATTGGTCTTGAATATTAAATAATAATGTAATAATGTAAATACGTTTAAAAAATCTTTTTTTAAAATTTAAAAAAAATGCAAAGACTCGGAAAAACAACAAATATTCTCATCAACAGTATTGCTCGCGGATCTGCCAAGAGAGCCTTTTCTTCATCTAGTAAATTTTTCACTGCTACTAGTGAACCATGTGGATATCCTGGTGCTGTTAATGCTACATTGACTCATGATCTTAAATTCAGATCAAGTATGAATGAAGACGGTACACCATTCCCAATTTTCAACATCATGTCCAAGGATGGTGAAATTGTCAATGAAAAGGCTTTCAAGGAAATTGATGTAAGTTTTTTATTAGCCAAGCCTTTTTTAATTTTCATCATTTTTCCACAACAAATTAAATGTTGTTACTTCTTAATACGAATATATAATACTATATACCTGTTTGAATAATATTGTTATATATTCGGTACAAATTGCAATTTATACAATGTATTCTTCTCATCTTTATCTATTCATCACTACATTGTCATCAACATTATCATCAACATACGATTACATCATCATCATTGTACAATTTTCAATTTTCTCTTCTTTCAATAACAGTACACAAATGAAGATTTAGTTAACATGTACAAAACCATGATTCGTTTGGAAACTATGGATGATATTTTATATAATGCTCAACGTCAAGGACGTGTTAGTTTTTACATGACTAATTATGGTGAAGAAGCACTTCAAATTGGATCAGCAAGTGCACTCTCACGTGATGATACAATTTTTGCTCAATATCGTGAAGCAGGTGTTTTAATGCATCGTGGATTTACTCTTGATAATTTCCTTAATCAATGCTTCTCAACAATTGAAGATTTTGGAAAAGGTAGACAAATGCCAGTTCACTACGGATCAAAGGAATTGAATTTCCAAACAATTTCATCACCACTTGCCACACAAATTCCACAAGCTGCAGGTGCAGGTTATGTTTATAGAATTCAAGGAAAGGAAAATGTTTGTGTTTGTTACTTTGGTGAAGGTGCTGCTAGTGAAGGTGATTTCCATGCTGCTTTGAATTTTGCATCAACTTTGAATTGTCAAACAATTTTCATTTGTCGTAATAATGGTTATGCAATTTCAACTCCAACTCGTGATCAATATCATGGTGATGGTATTGTTGCTAGAGGTATTGGTTATGGTATTCCATCTATTCGTGTTGATGGTAATGATTTATTTGCTTCATACTTGGCAACAAAGAAGGCTCGTCAATTGAGTATAGAATCAAAGGGACCAGTTCTTATTGAATTTATGACTTATCGTGCTGGTCACCATTCTACTTCGGATGATGCTTCTCGTTATAGATCTAATGAAGAATTATCTAAATGGAGAAATGAACAAAATCCAATTATTCGTTTCCGTAAATATTTAGAAAAGAATCAATTGTGGAATGAAGAAATGGAAAAGACTGAACGTGATACTAATAGAAAGACTGTCTTGTCGTTGTTGGCAAAGGTTGAACATGCTCCAAAACCACATCTTGATGAATTAGTTTTGGATGTTTTCGATCAAGTTCCTCAACATTTACAACATCAAAGAGAATGGACTGAAAATATTGTTAAGAAATATCCAGAAGCTTTTGAAGGTCATTAAATTTGTAGTTGTTACACAAATAAAAAGGCGCCAATTTTGAAAAAATGTCATCAACAAATGTAACGGAAAAGCAACAAATTAAACAACCTAAATCATCATCACCACCACTACCTCCCTCATCATCCTCAACAATTCCCACGCCAATATCTTCAAATAAGCCAAAATTAAGGAAGAAATCTTCAATGAAAAACAATGATAACAAACCCGAACCTTATGATCCCTTCAATTTATTTGAATACGACAATAGAGCCATTGCACTACAAACACTTCAGAGAATTAATGATAATCTCCTCAACAATAATACATCTAACATTTCATCAGCACTCAATTATCAAGATATCAACAATGGAATATCCCCTAATTCATCTGTATCATCATTTCATAATAGTAGTAGTAGAAGGAGAGCATCTATTTCTTCATCATCACTTACACCAAGATCTTTATCAACTAGTAATAATAATAGGAAGAGTCCTCGTCAGCTAAGAGAAACAACACCATCTTCACAACAACCTTCAGCACCAGTGAAAAGAACTATTTCCAATCAATCATCACCATCCAAGTTTTCATCAGTGAGTGGATCTTCAACAACTCCTCGACATAATGTGTTTAATAGATCAAATTCTGATTCTCAAACAATTTCAAATCATAGACCTTCCAATTCAAAGAGAAGGGCATCTATTGGTGGTATGGGAACAAGTAATTGTCAACAACATGAAAATAATTGTATATGTAGTCATTGTGGACATGAAATGAAATTAAAAGAAGAAAAGAAACCTCTCATCACACCAACAAATGAAATTTTCAAAGCCTTAACAGAAATTGAATATGAACAGGCGCTAAAACAAAGTATGAAAGGAATGGACAAGGTTAATTTAAATGATGAAGAACAATTGGATTTAGTTGCTGAAATATTATCTGAAACTTTATTAAAGAATGATGGATTAAGTTTATCCTCGAAAAGAAAACAAAAACTAAAGAAAGCAACTCACTTTTCACAAACTGAAACTTATTTTGAGAATAGAATTGATAATAGACCTTCACAAACAATAGAGAAACAATTTGATTTTACTAATTGTGAATCAACTAACAAGACAAATGTCGAAACAAATCAGCAATTAGTTAATTCTAATATTGTTAATAATAATAATAGAAATGCACCAATTAAGAAAAAACCAAATATTCAAATATTTAGAAATATTGAGGAAAAGAATATTTCACCTCTTGATGAGGAATGTAAATTAATTTCAGAACCATTTATTACAATTCAAAATAATCGAATGAATTTCTATCCAAACGAACCAACAAGAATAGCACCTGTGAGTAGGAAGAAGGATTCACGCAATATTCCATCAAGCAAACAACCAATTTATAATGAACAAAAGGTTCAATCAAGAAAATCATCACCTCAACAAACTTCATCAGTAACTGAAAACAACAATGAAACTCAAACTAATGCATACATTGAGTATGATACTAATGAAGATCAACCTGATAGTATTAATACTGATACTACTAGTGATGATGATAACATGGTGTATAGAGATAAATGTCTGAACACTGATGATTGTTTAATTATGAATGAAGAAATAAGGAATGAACTTTATGAAAATGCTAAACGAAAAGGACAAGATGAAATAGTTAGAATGTATATTAATTCTAAATTGAAAGAGAGATTAACAAAGCAAAGTAAGAGAAGTGATAGAAAATCATCTCTTTCATTCTTATTTCCTGGTCTTTACAAGAAAATTCAAACAGATTTGAAATTAAAAAGATTAGAAAGTACAGACCCATACAAAAAACCAATGAATAATATAATTCAAGAAATGAAATCTCTCGTTGAAAGATGTTGAAATTATAACTACTTGAATTCTTTGTAACTTATCGTAAATTACCTTTGTTATTTAAGCGCCATTTTTAAATTCATAAACGTTAAAAGCCTTTTAAAAAAAAATGAGTCTACAAGACTCTCCGTCATCATCAGCCTTAATTCAAGATGAAATGCTTCATCACTCTCCAAATGATACTCATGAATTTTTAGTGAGGAAAACAACAAATTATGATTGTGATGTTAGTTATGATATTAGTAGATCCGGACTATATTCTTCATTCTCTAGTAGTAGTATTTGTAGTAATATTCTTGATGAATCCAATACAATGCTTGTTTTTCCATCTCCCATTGAAAAGACATCAATTAATCATCAAACTAATCAAGAAATATCCCCTCCAGGAGGTAGAACTGTTGTTGATGGAAATAATAGTGGAGATGATAGTTTAATGTTAGGTTTGCCTTCTCCAATAGATTCTTCTTGTTATCAAACACCTGTTCAGCAAAGTACAGCCTATAAGAAGAGAATGATATTTAGTGATTATTCATCTATTGGACCATGTTCAGTAAAATCAGATTGGAGTGATGTTCCATTAAGTGAATTGAGTAATATCCAAACACCACTCAAAAGAAATGTATATATAACTGATTCAACTCCAAGAAATGTAGTTAATGCTCTTGTATTGAATAAGGGATTCTTATCAAGCGATTCTAAGAGAAAGAGTTTAAAGGTTAAAAAATTAAATGTTTCAGGTTCTCCTCAAAGAATATTTGATGATTTGGAATTGTCAAATATTATTGAAGAAAAGGAAAATTCTAATCCACAATTTCAACAACAATCACTTCAACTCAATAATAGTAATTGCTCAACTATTCATAATGGACAAGCATCTAAGAATTCATCCTCAATATTTTCCTCACTTAAAGATTTAAAGTATTACAATGAGTCGTCTGGTATTTTAGATTCACCTCCTGAATATAGTTTATGTAGTTGCTGCAAGAGTAAAGATAGAGAAATTGAAGAATTGAAAAGAAGATTATTTGAACAAGAAGAAAAGTTTAATGATTTATTGAAAGAACATCAAAAATATTTAACTCTAGATAGATGTGATACATTATCGGATACTTCAACTTTGTCAACTGGTTCAAATCAATCGGATACTTCAACTAGGAAAACACTAAGAAATGTAATTTCATTTGAAAATTCAAAATTTATCAAATTGTACTGCCGAGTTAGAAATTATACACAAGATGAATTAGAAAATGTACAGAAAAATCAAACCAATCTAAGTTCCTTAATAACACATTCAGAAGCAAATTTGTCATTTGAGTCATCAAGTCAAATGTTGGAAGGACAAATTCAAGATGAAAGTAATTCAGTGGTTGCAACAGACGAAACAAGAATCACTATAAGAAAGTACTTAAAGAATTCAGTATCTGGAATGGGAAGTAAAATGTCAAAATATGAATTTCATTTTGACAAAGTATTTGGATATAATACAGATAATGATGAAGTTACAGATTCATTAAGTAATTTCATTGACAGAGTTGTCTATGATGAACCTCAACAAAGATTGACAGTTCTTGCGTATGGTGCAACTGGTAGTGGTAAAACATATACTATTAATGCTGTAATGAATTATGTGCAGAATATGTTGTTTAGCCCTGAAAAGAGTAGAATAGTTAGAGGTGTTTATTTCAATTGTTTTGAAATTTATAATGAACAAACTCAATTATTAATTAGCAAAGATGTTGATGAATTTATAAGAGTGGATTCAGTTCAAGATTTAGAAAGATTAATTATTAAATCCCAGAATAAGAGAAAATGTGCTGAAACTGAATATAACAAGAAAAGTTCTAGAAGTCATTGCATTTATAGATTCAAAGTTTGTTTTGATCAACAAGATGATCAATACTACAATGTTTTGAATGTGATAGATTTGGCTGGAAGTGAGAAGTTATCAAGTGATGAATTTATTCAAAATCAAACAAAAGATACTTCAGATTTTAGAGATTTGAAAAAGATGAGAAATTCAGAGACTGTCAATATTAACAAATCACTTTCAGTGCTAAGCCAAGTAATTAAGGGACTTGCTCAAGGATCTAAATTCATTAATTATAGAGACTCTGTTCTGACAAAGATTTTAAAGAATGATTTATCTCAAGTTGCTTTGATTGTGAATATTAAACCTCCAACTCAATCCAAAGACAAGATTGAAATTGAAAAGATTGTAAATTCATTAACCTTTGCAAAGAAAGCAAATGCTTTTGAGATTACAAAATCCAATGTAAAATAATAATTTTATGGAGCAATTGTCATTAATAAAAGTAAAATGATGCAAGTTGCAATTACAAAAGCTAAAATAATCATATCCCTTCTATTCTTTTGTTGAATTCTATTCAAAAGTCCATCAATAACAGGAAATCTTCCTAAAAAAATAATTACAATAATTTGTCAAATTAAAATTGACTTACCTTTCATATTATTAAGAACTCTATCAAAATTTCTAAATATTTCCATTTGTTCTTCTAGAGCTGCTTTGGAAGTGTGACCTTGTGTAATTAAATTTTGCATTCTTATATTGGTATCTCTTAATCTTTGAATTTCAGATTCACGTGATGATCCTAACAACGAATCATTTTCATTATTTCTATTCGAATTATTTAAATAATAAATAAAATCTATTAAACATACACATCCTCTTCATCAGAAATATACAATAAATCATTCCTATTTTTCTTATTTGCTAATCTTTGTCTTCTCGATTTAAATTCTTGTTTAATTCTATTAAAAAATGTTTCATGTTGTTCATATTGATACACAATTGATGATGATAATATTGAATGATTATTTTCATCTTTAATAAATTCCTTCATCCTATCATTTACTTCTCGTAACTATTAAAATAATTAATAATCACATCATGATGATCATCATACCTCTTTTAATAAATGGTCAATTTCCTCCGTTATTGCTTCAAACAACTGTTCCGATGTTGATATATTGTTAGATACTATTGGTTCTTGGAATAATTCATCCTCTATCTTGGTTGCTAAATTTTGGTAAGTGATTAACTTTTGTTCAATTTTATTTTCAAGTTGTGTAGCTTGTTTGAGCAGTTGATTCATTTTTTTAATATTAAAAATAAATTTGATGACCTATAATGCTCGTCATCACACTCTGCTTCTTTAAATTTCACCATCGTTTGTTACTACTATTGAATCTTTTTAAATCTATTTAAATCTCAAAACTTATTTCCTTATTATATTGAATGAAATGATTTAAATGGCTACTTTTCATTAACAACTAGTCCAACAATTGTCTTCACACTTTCATCATTCAATCTTCCAAGTTTTGGTTGATCTTCAATGTTGTTTGATTGGTCTGAGTGATCTGAATGATGAAATAAAAGTGGTTTGTAAAAAGTATAGTTGGTAAGATGAAATGATTTCCAATTAGGAGAAGTTTGATAATAGTAAAATCTCAAGTTATTAAAAACCATATCTTTTTTGTAGGCTGAACTAAACTCTTTTAAACAATTAATTCTAACATAATTCTGTGATTCATTTTCATAATTTGGATTTTCCATTAATTGATATTTAGATAATAATGTAATAAATGTTCCATTTTGTGCTTTGTATTTAATTGTTACATGGGAACAATAGAAATTTCGAAATATTATAAATCCAATCTTATTAATTCATCAATAAAAACAATTCCGAACCAAACATACTTGAGTGGGTTTTTCAAATTTTACATCTTGATATATTAAACAAGGTCTCTTTGATTGTTCCTTAACAATGTCCAGTAATTTAAAATCACACAAAACAGGTGTGTTCATCTTTTTGTATTTTTTATTTAAAAAAATGTAATTAAATTGGCGCCAAACTAATTTTACACACTTGTAATGAATATTTTCTAATTCCACCTTATAGGAGGAAGATATCTTATTGCAAAGTGAATGACCAACATTAATAACAATATTTGCACTCTTTAAAAACATTTAATGAGAACACACATTATTGTAAAAGTTCAAAAGCAAGCTATTATTGGAACAGTAGGAACCTGCAGCAGAGAACCACATTGGAAATTTATTATTAAAAAAAATATTGATCATCATCAACCCTTTAAAAAAATTACACGTGATTGATCATCATTAAAACTTTCCAACAATTGTACAGAAAATGACTGATAAACGTATTGTAGAAATTATTAACACCAAACAATTCGGTACACTTCTTTATGAATGCGAATCACATGAAGTTGAAGTTTTGGCCGGACAAAAACAATCAGCATCAACTCTCTTCTATGGTTCCTTCCTCTTGGGCTATCTTATCAATGATGACTTGAATAATTGTAGATTCCTTTGGAAGAGAATGCCAAATGATGCTAAAAAAGATGATGATCTTAAAGGAATATGGGAGGTTGCCAAACAATTATGGAATAGAAACTATGAAGGAGCCTACCAAGCAATTTCTCAATTGAGCCCTGCATCTCCACAATTGAAGGAACTTATCAATTATTTTGTCGATCAATTACGTCAAAGAACATTGTTACTCATTTCAAAGGCTTATGCTAATATTAACACTAATGATTTGATGAAATGTTTAGGTATCAATGATGTGAATGTTTTGAATCAAATTGTTTCACCATTGAATTGGACTTTTGATAGTGCTACTAATGTATACATTCCACAAGTAATTACTGTTAAACCACCAGAAATGCCTGTTGGTCTCGATGCTATCAAGGGTATGACTCAAAAGGCTGTCTTTTTGGAATTGGACTAAATACTTTCTATTAAAAATCATTGTACTATTAAATGTTATTGTTGCTTCCAACATTTTGAGAAGATGAACTTTGATGAAATTAGTCTACACTCTATTAAATCAATGTCTCATTATGAATTCAAATGAATAGTGTAATGAGTATTAGACTTTAAATGATACATTTAATTGTTATGCTTTACACGTGCACAAACAAGTCTAAAAAATCACCCATTCTCCTTTGTTTGGTTCCAAAGTAGACGTTCGTACCAGAATATTTTTCATCGGTGCGAATCCATCAAAAGCCTTGGGAACGACAACAACAAAAAATACACCACACTGAACAACTCCGCCATCCACTTGTCAACAACAAACCACCACCCAACAACCCAACAAATATTGTTGAACGTTGAATTGATAATAGTCTAAATTGTCTTTGGCAATACGCAAACAGTTGTTGTCCCAAAATCATCAACAAGAGTAACAATTACCAAGTCTTCAACGAACTAAACAATAACTATCTCCAAAGCTTTTATTATACAAAATTTAATTGCTTTTAATAACTAATTATCCACCATCATACAACTATTATTTATTATTTAAAAACGATCATCACTAAAACAAAATGAATAACAACAATCCACAATCAAGACCTCCAATGTTGAACGTATCAACGGTCGTTAAATCAAAATGGAAAATTCAAGGAAAGTTAGGTCAAGGTGCATTCGGAGAAACCTATGCTGCTGTCGATCTTCATAGTGGCGAGGATGTTGCCATTAAAGTAGAAAAACTAGATAACAAGAAGATCGTACTTAAATTAGAAGTTATCGCTTTGAAGAAAGTTCAAGCTTGTCCATATGTTGTAAGATACATTCACAGTGGAAGACAAGACGATTACAATTTTCTTGTCATGGAAAGACTGGGAGAAAGTTTAGCTGATTTACGTAAACGAACACCTCGTGGAGCTTTCTCAATGAGTACAACATTGAGATTAGGTATTCAAATGATTGAAAGTTTAGAAGGTGTACACAAATTAGGTTATATTCATCGTGATGTGAAGGTATGTTAATATTATTGTTATTGTTTATTATAATTTTTTCATTATTTAGCCATCTAACTTTGTAATGGGAAGATCGAAACCTAAAAGAGGAAGAACCTATCTCATCGATTTTGGTCTAGCTCGTAAATATAAATTACCAAGTGGTGAAATTAGACCACCACGTAGAAATGCTGGATTTAGAGGTACAGCTCGTTATGCATCTATAAATTCCCATCATTCTAAAGAATTGGGAAGACGAGATGATTTGTGGTCTGTTTTTTATGTGTTGGTAGAATTTGCTTTAGGTTCCCTTCCATGGAGAAAGATCAAAGACAAAGAACATATTGGTGAACTGAAAGAACGGTTCACAAATGCAGAATTGGTTAAAGATTTACCAAATGAATATCAATTATTTATGGAACATTTACAAAAATTAGGATATGCTGATGAACCTGATTATGATTTTTTGAAGTCATTACTTCTCCAAGTATATAGCAGAGATGGTTATTCACATGATGAACCATTCGATTGGCAAAGAAGAGACAAACAATCAATACCACCACATATTGATCTCACTAGTATTGTTGATGATCAACCTGTTGTTTCTGCCACTGAAAACTTCCCTCAAAAGTTTGTCAATGGACAAAAGAGTGAAGATAAACCACCAAAGAATAATGTTGATTCTGAAAAGTCAAGCAAAGGATGTAAATGCGTGATTTTGTAGATGGACAATATATAGCTCAATACCTTTTTATTATTGAGGCATTGTATTTCTATTTGCACCAAAATAGTGATCTTAGTCGAGTTTTTAATCTCTGAAATGTAAATGAATAAACCAATTATTTGATTCTTTTGGCGCCAAATCATTTACTAGTATTTGAAAGTAATAACTACTCATAAAAAAATGATGTACAAACAGCAAGTGGATAAGGAGGACGTAGAAAAATTAGCTCTCAATATTGAACAAGTTCAAAATCCAGGAGAAACACCATTCTATGTTATTAAGAGTCTCGGAAAAACAAATTTTCTTATAAAACACAAAGGATCAAAATATAAAGTTGCAATAGGAGAAAGGAATGAATGTTCTTGTTCATTGAAACGTTCCGTAAATTGTGTTCATATTTTATTTGTTTTATTGAAGATTTATGGCTTGGAAACCGATTCGGCACTTCTTAAGAAGGTTGCATTCAATGAATATGAACTTCAAAATATTCTTCAAGGAAAAAAGTGTTATTATGAAAAAAAGAAACATTTATTTACAAAGGATCATCAAACACAGTCTTCATCTGGTTCTGAAGAGAGTTCGAAAAAAAGAGGTCCAAGACAAATTGAGGAAGGTGATTGTTGTCCAATTTGTATGGATGAAATTTCAGAAAAAGACATTGATGTCAGTTTAGTGTGTTGTAGATATTCATGTGGTAATTATATTCATGCAAATTGTTTAAGGGAATACTTTGCAAATTCATATCAGAAACATAGATCTTGTCCTTTTTGCAGATTTGATTGGAAAAATGATCTTGACAATCAAATACTTGATTTAAAAAATAAGAAAATGAAAAAGAAGGAGGAAAATACTGTCACTTCATTTAATTGTGCTGAATGTCAATCTCAATTAGAAAGTAAGAAGAAAATATTTGTTTGCCATTTTTGTTACAAATGCAGAAACTCAGTGGTACCATTTTGTAATAACTGTTATCGTAGTAAGGATGTGCACATTCAACACAAAGGAAAATATTATGTTGTTAGAATTGGAAATTCAAAGAAAATTGATCATGAAATTCTCAAGGAGGAAGAAATAACAGATAGGCAGAAAGATATTATGCCATTTGCTAATTCTAATGAAGGTGTTGGGAACACATCACCAATAACTTGTCAAATTCATTCATTTCCCAATTTAATGTCCTTACCAAAGCAGTTGACTTTTCCAAATCCTCAATCAATTCAACCACCACAATTCACACCATCCCATCAACAAAATCAACCTAGTAGACTTTCCAAACCAATGTCAAGTAATTTATCTTTTAAAAACAAGGACAAACATTCAAACAGTTCAGAAGATTTAGATTCCCTATTATCAATTATTGGAAACACGTATGTTGATCAACCAAAATCACCAAGAAAACAATACAATTCCAGTCTTAAAAGAGGATTTACATTCACTCAACAAAGTAAGAGAACAGAGACTTTGAATCATACCAATAATTTAGACTCACTCTTGACCATAACGAATCATCATCCTTCAATATTTATTCCAAATTCTTCACCCAAAAGAAAGTAATAATAAAATTAACAAAATGAAAATGTGCGCCAAAAATCTAACCTCCTCTAACTACTCATCAAAAATTGTAGTCAAAAATAGGTTGTATGAGCGCCAACAAAAACCAACCATAAAAAATGAGTCGACCATTAATGAGCAGAGGTCTTTTTACTGGTGCCAATCCAGGTAACACAACAGCTGTGCCAGGAACAGGTACAAGGAGAGGAACAGGAACAGCAACAAGAGCTGGTATGCAAACAGGAGGTGTTGGCATTGGCCTTAGTACTGATATTACTGTTGAGGATAGACCAGTTACCAGAGAAGGAATGTTTGGTATGAAAGCCCCTTTAACAAATCAAAAAAGACAAGTTCAATCATCATCATATTTTCTCGGAGAATTACATGCAAAGATTTCATCATTGACTGAAGAATTGGAACGTTTAAGGAATGAAGGAAGAAAACTTCAACAGGATCGTGTTCAATCTGAAGCTTTAGTAAAAAAAGAAGCAGATTTAAAGGATGAAATTGTTCAATTAACAAGTAGAGCTAGGGATTTGAATGCAAGTGTCGAAAAACTTCAACAATTCGACGCTATCAATGCTCAAGATAGAGAGCCATTGGAAAAATTAAAGGCTCAATATGAAAAGTTTAAAGCAGAGAATGAAAAACTTAAAGAAACAAACAATGAAATTTTCAGAAAGAGAAATGCGAGTGATGAAATGATTAGAGATATTGAACAAAAGATACAAGACTATCACGATGATCTTCAAGATAAATTAAATGTGGATCTTTCAAAGAGGAATATTTACTTCTCTCTTAAAGATGAAAAAGCAGAATTGGAAGAAGTTTATAGAGAAATGGAACATCAAATGCAAGAATTGAATGATTACTTGCAAGGAGATGGTGGTGCTGTATTATCGAATGATCCTCAAAAGCAAAAATACTATGAAAAGCTGCAAGAAAAGAGAGCTCTAGAAAAGAGAAAACAAGATGTACAAAATAAGCTTAGTGGTGGCACTGTTACAGACGAAGAAAAGAACCATTTAATGCTCCAAATGAAAAATGATAAGCAAGATGCTGCTCGTCTCCAAGAAGCAATCAAACAATGTAAAAATCTGGTAACTTCTGAAAAGGAAAAAATGAAGGTACTTTCTGATCAATTGGATTCACATAGAGGAGATAAGTCAAAGAGTTACTCTGAATTGAAGAATAAGGATACAGTACTGACTAAGTATATGGCTAACTTTGATACTGACAAGAATAAGGAATTGAAGGAATTAGCTGACCATCAAGAAATCATTGTAAAATTATTAGATCACATTAGTAATAACATGGGAGATCAAGAAAATATGCCAACTCAAACAAAACTTGAAGAAATGAAAGACGATTTGGCTTTCAAACAGGACCAAAGAAATATTTCGTTATCTACACTTGAAAGATTGAGACAAGATTTGAAACAAAGAAAGGAAGAAATGGATAAGGTTAATAATTTGGAAGTCAAGATTGTTCAAGATATGAAACGATTAGATGAATCGATGAGAGACATGAAAAATTCTCTTGATACATACAGTAATATTGATTTGTTAAAGAGGCAATACGAAAAGCAAAAATCTGATTTAGTGGAGAAGAGAGAACAATTGAAATTATTGAAAGAAAATCTGAAAACGGAAATGCACTTGCTCAGCAGATATAATACTACTTTGGATAGAAAAGTTAAATCCAATGATTTATATACTATTCTCAATGATTTAGAACAAAAGATTAGAGTGTATGAACAAAACAATTTCCTTCTCAATGATTATATTACTCAAAAGGGTGCTGAATCTGATTATTCAATGGTTAAGTATAATACAATGAAACTTGTAAATGAAGCATGTGAATCAGTCAAGGAAGCAGCTGCCAATAATGTTTTCTAAGACTTAACAGCAATAAACAAAAATTCTGTAAACAACCATTTTCCAGAATGAACTTCAAATAATTATTTTACCTGTTATCCAATTCAGAATTGACTTGTAATTCGTCAGCTAACAACAATTTATTAATAGAATTTAACTTTAAAAAAATGATAAACAAGAGACAGGCATCTACATCACAACAATTTAGACAACAAAAAGACTTGGAAGAGGATACTGAAACTAGAGTACGCAACAAGATCAAGACAATCATGAAATCGGACAAGAGGAAGGTTGATCATAAACCAACAAAAATTCATAAAGATAAATTATTAAAATGTTATTCAGCATTTAAACAAGTAATGCAAGAGTCACACATTGAACATTTCCTTTCTCTTGGTAATCATGAACCAAAAGAGAATCTTATTAGATTTTCAACTAGTGAATTAGAATATATTGAACATTTACATATTTATGATTTTGATGGTACACTTTTTGAAACATTATTACCTGAAGAAGGAATGGAATTATATAGAAAAGTAACAGGAAAATCTTGGCCTCATGGAATGAGTTGGTGGTCAAGAAAGGAATCAGTTTCAACATTTACATATGTAAAAGATAAAAATGATGAACATTTAGTTAAAGAAGGTGAAGCATATCCACACTATATTCAAGCTAAAAAATCACAAAAGAAATCAGATTTAATAGTTATGATGACTGGTAGAAAGAGTGTAATGAAAAGAGAAATAACTGAATTTTTAAAACATAGATTGACTGACAAGCTGATGCCTGAAGTTTTATGTTTCAAGCCAGATGAATTTGGTAGCTCAAATACTATTGGATTCAAAGTTAGACAGATATATTCTTTCTGTAATTCTTTACCAAATTTAAAACAAGTTACAATGTGGGAAGATAGAGTTGAACATGCAAACAGATTCCAAAAATTAGAAATCAAAAACTTTACTTTAAATAACCCTATTTCAATAACTGTACAATTGGTTGGAAAGGAAAAAGATGAAGCAATGGTTGAATAAATAATTATTGTCTAACTACAATTGGAACATATGATGGATTCCACATTCTAGATCCAACATATTCGTCCATTTCAATATTTGAGTCAATGAAACTCTTTGACTTATTAGCCAACTTTGGAGCATTTCCTTCAGCATATGCTTGTCTGATAACACCAATAGCAACTTTCTTACTGACCTCTCTGATATCTTCAACTTTTGGATAAACTTCCTTTCTTAAAATTGCTTCATCTGAAACAGTAGCAGCAAGAGCCTTAGAGGCAGCATAAAGCATATTATCAGTAATTGTGTTACATCCAGATATCTGACTCATCAGACCAAGAGCAGGGAAGATAAACATGTTATTTGCTTGTGGAGGTCTAATAACTTGTCCATTTGGTAAAGTTACTAAATCAAATGGTGAACCACTGGCAAATACACCCTTTCCTTCAGTACATTTAAAGACAAGTTCAGCACTTGCTTCAGATTTGCTTGTTGGATTTGAAAGTGGGAAAATAATAGGTTCCTTTCCTCTTTGCTTACATTGATTACTCATTTCTTTAAGAATATCTTCAGTGAAAAGTCCACCAATACCTGAAAGACCAAGAAGAATATCAGGTTTAACAGTTCTAATTGTTTCAAGAATTGATAATCCTTCTGGTAAATCATCTCTAACTTCAGCATAGTATCTTTGTGATGAAGTGAAATGAATTCCCTTTTCATCACCTTCTTCAATTCTACGAGAGGTTAATAAACCATCCTTATCTACAATATAAAAGTTTTTACGTGCTTCTTCGTCATCTAAACCTTCACGAACCATAGCTTCTTTCAAACTATTAGTAACTCCCAAACCTGCACTACCAGAACCAACAATCATAATCTTTTGATCCTTAATATCTTCAAACTTTTGTCCAATAGCTCTCAAACTGTTAAGAATACCAGAAACTTTGAAATATTTCAGTATTTTTCAATATTTTTCAAAACTTACCAATAACTGAACCAGTTCCTTGAATATCATCGTTGAATGAAAGATACTTGTTTCTATACTTCTTCAAAACAACTTCTGCCTTATCACTTGTAAAATCTTCGAATTGAATTAAAACATTTGGCCATCTTGTTGTAATTGCTTCCATAAATTCATCAACAACATCAAAATATTCTTGTCCAGTCAATCTCTTTTTCTTAATACCCAAATACAATGGATCATTTAACAACTTTTCATTATTTGTACCAACATCCAACATAACAGGAAGAACTCTACCTGGATTAATACCACCTGCAGCAACGTACAAAGCAAGTTTACCAATTGGAATACCATCACCATTTGCACCAAGATCTCCGAGACCTAAAATTCTACCACCATCTGTCACTACAATGACGTCAACTTCATCAACAGGGTGATTATAAACCATAGCTTTCATTTCTCCACGATCTTCAGCA